ACAGAGGTGACCTGCTTGGATTTAACTGGGGTCTGATGAGGGCACTGTGCCAGGGCCGTGGCCTGGGTGGAACTGGCAGACTGCCTGGCTCGTGTGGACCTGGAAGGCAGAGCTGCCAGGATTTCCAGTGGGTCAGATGGGAGGTGACAGTAGGAAGCATTGTGGGGCGCTCCCAGGTCTGGTTCCTGAGTGCCTGAAAGGGTGGCCCTTCCTGTAAGCAGTGAGCAGATGGGGTGGGGCCTCTCCCATCAGAGCCCTGTCCAGCAAAGTCAGATCAGCCAGGCTTTTGAGAAAAGCCACAGGACAAGTGTTTCCATGAAGTCCGTGTCAGCAAATGCTGGCTACTTATTGAGACCCCATGAACACCTCAGGGTGCCCGGCAAAGCGGCTATGCACTGTGGGTGTGACCCCGACCCGGCAGCCTGCAGCCTCTGCCCCAGGGTCTGTCACAGCAAGCAGGCTCTCACAGGTGCACAGCACGCAGGGCAAGCTCTAAGCCCAAGCTCCTGGCTTCACCCCTACAGTTCCATCCCGCAGCAGACAATGCCAGCCTCAGTCTCAGCCAAGGAGACTGAGAAGATAAACTCCTGAGGAAAGCCAGGTGGCAGGAAAGCGGTGATGTGGGGACTGGAACCAGAACTGTCCCCAAAGTTCTGGTCATGAGGACACTGCTCTGCCACCTTCTCCATCCAGGCAAAACCCAGAGCAAACATTTGTGTTACACCCAAGGGAAAAGAAGGAGTGTGACTTTCCCAAAGCCTCTCGGCGGGCTGGCAGCAGAGCCCAGATGGCAGCCTGGGGTTCAGGGCTGCAGGAGGGCTCTTCTCACCTGGGCTACCTGGAGGGGCCCAGGGAAGCCAAAGACACTGGGCTGGGGGCCAGTGCAGCACGGCAGCAGCACTGAGTCTGAAGGCTTCACCCCAGCTTTGCTACTTGCTGGCTCTGTGACCTTGGCCAAGTCATTTCACCTCTGTGTGCCTCAGTTACCTCAGCTCCAAGATGGGTGTAACCACAGCACCTGCCGCGATGGGCATGAGAGGAAGTAACACTTGTTGAGTGAGAATTCAGAGCAACAACCAACACCACCCGCTCCACAGAGATTAATTAAGCACCTACTGTGTGCCAGTTCTAGGCACTAGAGAACCAGCAGCAAACTATGAAGGTAAAACTCAGTCCCCACCATAAACAATGACACTGACATGAGCTCAATAGCAGTAAGAGACAAAAGATTAAGCAGGGCTGGTATTGGGAGATCCATTCTGAATCAGGCAGGCAGGGCCGAGCACAGATGTAGAGAAGCTATGGGAAAGGGCCTTGGGTAGGTGTGGAGGAAAAGCATTTCAGAGGGAACAGCCCGTGCAAAGGCCCTGCTGCCAAAAGGCACCTGGCATGCTGCAGGCCTGTGTGGCAGGAGTGCAAAGACCAAAGACCAAGGAGGAGGCAGAGCAGGAGGACCTTGACTTTGACTCTCTGCAATAAGAGGCAGAGAAGGAAGCCACCTGAAGTCACACCCCCAGCAAGAGGCAGATCCTGGCCCCATCCCACAGTGGGAAACCCCCAATGTGCCCCTTTCCCAGGGTCTCTGGGCCTGGGAGGTAGCGCTCCCCATCTTGGGTCTCACCTGCGACTTCTGTCTCTACCACTGACACCCACCCACAGCCCACCCCAGGTCTCTCCCTCTGCTTTCTTCTCTCACTAAAGCCACCTAGCCAGCCTGAGACCCTGAGACCCCCCCATGCCATCCCCTGTGTGTTACCAAGCCACTTAAGTCCTGGGGCACGCACACACACACACACACACACACACACACACACACACACACAGGTACACACACAGCTCAGAAGTCCACATGTCACCAGCGCTCCCACCAGTCCCCACCTCTGCTCCCAGTCCTGACCGCTGGTCCGGCTCCCCTGTCCTAAGAAAGCCATCCTAGCCTCCCCCAGGCCCTCCGCACACTTCTCAGGAAGGGCCGGGGTAACCCTGCGAGGAGGCCACGCTCGCCTCTCTGTGTAAGCAAGGGCGCCTGCCCGTGCTGGCTCGCGAGGAGAAAAGCTTCCTTTGTGCCAGGGCTGGTGAAAGTGTGTCTGTTTGGGAGGAAGGCTGCAGTTTCCTCTGCCGCGCTGCCAGCCAGGGCCGGAGTGTGGGAAAGGGGCCGAGGGGATGTCCTGAGGCTGCACGAGGCCAGCAGGGGCTGCTCTGGACACAGAGAGAAGCGACAGGGCAGACGCCGGACAGGAAGGTGCACCGGCGTCCTGCAAAGAAGTGGGGGGTCTGTAGGGTTCCCCGGAGCGTGTGTGAAGCACAGCTTCTAGTGGGGAGGGAGGATTTCTGTTGCAGGCCAGGGAGGAAGAGAAAAGCAAGATTCTTTTCTTTTCCAGGGTCCTCAGGATGGTTTTTCCTCTCAGAGCAAAAAAACAAAATGATCACAGAACCCAGAAGACAGGTCGTCATGGCAACAAAAGTTTGAGGCCAGGTACTTCCTGATGCCCTTTCCAGGCCCATCCGTGGAGAAGGCAGGATTTGGGGGCTGTGATCAGCAGCTCTGGATGCAGTCTCCCCAGTCTCTCACCAGCCATGACAAGCTGATAACTGTTTTCCAAGCTCCTGGGGAAGAAAATTATGATTTTCTAGGAGGAGTGATCTCTAGCCAACAGTGACCGAGAGAACACTGTGGGTTTGTTTTATTTACCCAGCAAATTAACCAGCCATGTGTGAGTAACACGGGACTTGGGGGAGGGGTCTCACGCCCAGCCCCTCCAAGGGCCCACTTCTCCCACCCTCAACTGTACCGTCCTCTGCTCCCATCTCTCTGCTCTGACTCTTTCCTGCCTCTGAGAAGCCAAATGAGACTCTCACCAAAAACCCTTTTGAGCCTCATCTGCAAACCAGGTGCCCTCCCCTCGCCTGCCTGAGAGATAACTGCCAGGACTTCACAGGATTCCACAGGTGAGAAGTTGAACAGGGCCTCATTTGTAGAAATGCACCATATGCATTAGCTGACATTGTTGTGAGATACTTTTCAATTAAGAATTTTTAAAAATATAGTACTCAGGCTTAAACTCCCACTGCAAGGCCTAGAAGAGCCACAGAGCCACAGAGCCACAGAGAACTGACTGTGTCATTGACCTTCAGGGATCAGTCAGGAAAGACCTCAGACAATTAAGAGGCCTCTGAGCGCCAGTATGGGCCAGGAAGCTCCACAGAGACAGGGACACAGCTTATGCTCCCCTGCGTGTGTTGAAAGGCGAGGCCGGGCTGCACACGGCGGAGCCTGGTGAGAGGCAGAGGTGCTGTCTCCCTTGGGCAGGGTCTCCTGAACCTTGGAAACATCTCAAGCTTGGAGAAACATCTATGGGGATCTCTACCATGAAAAGTGCATGTGTATCCCCACAGCAAGGTGTTATGAGGCCTCTGCGGGTGGAGACGGTAGTTTTTAGCCAAGATACCTTTGAGTTTAATTTTTGTTTTTAAAAGTACACACCACAGTAAAAATTCAAGTCCCAAGGACACACGGGAAGTAAGTGTGCTGAGGTAAAACAGGCCCAGTGGGACTGTTTTCAGACACCTTGCCTCTGACCAATGGTCAGCATGATTCAGGTGAAGTCACAGAAAAGTTTGGCCTGTCACCCCCAGAATCCAGACAGAGCCCTCAATACTCGGAGAAGTGTCCAGGCTGTCATCCCAAGACCCCTTCCAAAATTTTTATATTTTGTATATTAACACTTTCATACTGCAAACATGTATTGAAGACCCCACACTACCAAGAGGAGGGGGTAAGCAGGGATTGATGCCAACCCAGGCGGGCCTAGAATGGCGTCTGAGGGGAAAGAGAAGCAATATGCTAATGCCTGAAGACAGGTCCCAGGAAATAAATTTCAGGTTCAAGTGTGATGGAGGAGATGGAAGCGACAGTGAGGTCCAAAGCCCCCGGAAGCCTTGTCTCCCCATGAGGAGCAGCAGGAGGCATGGATCTGCTGGCTCCTGCACAAGCTTATCCCGCGGCCACTCCATCAACCCTGAGCCCCCACACACCAGGTCCACACCAACAGCTCTGGTGCTTAGAGGAGTTTTAACCTTGAGGATGGAGGTCCCTTCTCACAGGCAGGCACACGTGCAGACTTGGAGCCACACCATCTGGGAGGCACCCGGTCCTCCAGGGCTGGCCCTACCCACAGTCTGGCACAGGGGCTGTCCCTTGAGCCCTGGTGGAGCCTTCCTGCCAGCCTCGGGAACACTCGCTCCAGCCCTGGCTGCCTGTAGAGCACCGAGCAAGGAGCATGAGGTCTGTCTTCTAAAAAGGCAGCCCCTGCCCAACTCTAATGGGGCCCTCATGCTAAAGCAAGCCCTCTCGGACTTCCCAAGCTGGAGTTGGCAGAAGTGTCCTCATTATCCCTCCCACCTCCTTTCCTCGGAAGGGACCAGGACACCAAGGGCTCTCTGGCTTCAGGCCACACGTCCCTGGAACCCACAACCCACAGGACCCCTTGCTCCCCATTCCAGTGGTCTCCAAGCCTGGCAGGCAAACCAGAGTGGGTGGAAAGATGACTCGCTCAGCTGCTCCTGGCTCCGTGGATGTGCGGTGGGAGGGGCAGCCCTCAGCAAAGGTCCCAGGCCGCTGCTGCCCCCACCTCTCAGGGGCACGACAAGCAAGGTGGGAGGTGTCTCCTGCCCAAGAGACCAGAGTAGGGCACAAGCCTGGCGGTGAGTTCGCTTGAGCAAGGAACGCACGCCCCTCGGACCTGCAGCTGCGGTGGACACACGGGAGACGCGCCTCCCGCGGAGGAAGGGGGGTCACGTCCCCAAAGCCACCTGCGGTTCGCCAAGGTCCAGGAGCTCTGCCCTGAGCCTTCAAACCGCCAGGCATCCTGGACACTCCCCTCTCACCCGAATTCTGGCCCGAGACCCTGGCACCGTGCATATGCGCGCCCCCGGCCCGGCGCCCGGCTTGGGTAGGGAGCGCGGGTCCGGGGCTCGGGCCGCCGGGGCCGCGCACTCACCGAGCCCGCCGAGCTCCTCCTCGCAAGAGTACCAGATGCCGGTGTGGAAATTCCTGAAGAGGAAGCGGTCGTCGCCGGTCTCCCAGCTGTAGAGCGCGCCGCCCGGGGCGCCGTTGCCCGCGGCGGGGACGGCGGGGGCCGCGGTACTGTTGGCCGTGGCGTTGGCGCCCGAGTTGGGGCAGTTGGCGCCCGCGCCCTGGCCGCAGCCCGGCTTGGGCACCCGCTGCGTGCCCTGGCACCAGTGCGTGGTGAGGAAGGCGGTGGTGGCGAAGAGCAGCGCCAGCAGGTTGAGGGCCACGGCCAGGAGCGCTCTGCCGCGGCGGCTCGTCTTCATGCCGCCCGCGCCCGGGACCGCGCCGCCGGGGAGCTCCGCGCGCGAAGTTGGCGGCCGGCGCCCAGCGTCAGCGGCCGCTGTCCACCGCGCCCCGGGGCCCTGGAGCCCGCGATCGGCAGCGGCGGACGCGGCGCGGGTCCATGACCCCCCACCCCTGGTGGGGGCGCGGTTCGCGGGACGGAGCGAGCGGGCTCGGGCGGCAGGCGGCGGCGGAGGAGCGGACCCGGCGCGCCCCGAGCCCAGAGCGCTAGTGCACCTCGGCGAGGAGCTGCTGGCTGGCGCCTGGCAGCGGCCACGGCGCAGGAACGCGCGCCCCTCCGTGGGGAGACACCTGCAGGCGGCCCGCGACACTGTTCCGGCGCCCGCCTGCCGCCCGCACTGGGAGAGGGGGCGCCTCACGGCGGGCGCGGGCAGGAAAGATGATACTGGTCCTGAAAGAGACCTGCACCCAGACCTGCAACCACCAGAGTGGAGACTGACGAACAGGACGTCTCCTAGGCAAGGCGCACGGGAGGGAGAACCCTGAGAGGACATGGGGCAACACAACCCAGCAGGAAGGGGTGTCTCCCTGTAGACCCAGGGAGGCCCTGCAGACAACAGACAAGGGCAGATCCTGTTGGGGCTGCCCTGGGGGGTGCATGGAGCAGCACGACCCTCCCCCAGAAAGGAGCCCCTGGCAAGACCCAAGAAAAGAATTCTCCAAAGGGTCAGGGCAGTGGAGATTTAGGGCTTCCTGGAAGGATCCGGGAACTACAGGGCAGAGGAGACCTGCACTGGCAAGATGGACCAGACTCTAGAGTTTGAAAGGCTTGACTAGACCCTAGGTCACCTGCCCTGTCTGCGGACAGCCCCCGCCCAAGAATGAAACAGTCAGCTGGGCTCCCTGCCACGTCCTGGACCAGCAAGAAGGCTGGCAGAGGGGCACCAGGTACAGTGCGGGGGACGGGGGGGGGGGTGCAAAGACAGCTGCCCCACACGGGCTGTCCCCGGCTGAGATCCTGAATAGCATGATCCTCGAGGAGGTCTCATCCAGATAAGGAGTTGCAACCAGCAAGCAGGCTGCCCTGTGCGGGCTACCAACCTGGAATCTTCAAGACTAGAGCCAGGCACAATGGTCCAGCACACTGATTCTGGGGTCAGGCACCTCTGGGCTTGACCACGTGCATGGTTTTGAGTGTGTTGCTTGCCCTCTCTGGGCCCCAGTTTGCCTGTCTATAAAGAGAAGGCCTTTGGACTGCTGTCCTGAAATCTTGCCTGTAAGAAGCATTTGGCACATGGTGGACCCTCAGTTAATGCTAGCTGCTATTCTTAACATCTGAACCCAAGTGACAGAACTCAGACAAATCATTTCAGCATCTCTTGTGCAAACTAGGATTGCCCAAATGCGAGTGTCCACCTCTGCTTTGAGATGCCCACACTCCCGAAACCCCCTCTGCACAGCATACGGTGGTGCCCTGCCGCCCAGAGTGTGCAACAATAAATTGCGTGTTGATTGCAAGAGCTAATTTGAATTATGCCCAAGCTAAGAATGGCTTCAGCCACCCCCAGCTTGCGGAGCAGCAGGCTTCGCAGAATTCAAGGTTAACCGATTATGAATTGCCCTGCTCCTGTGGGTGTGCCCAGGCTCACTGTCAGCTGCTGCCATCTGTGGGGGTAGGTGAGAGGAGAGCATGGGGTAATGTCCCTGCCTAGGGGTCTCTTTACTGACTTACTAGAGTCCTTGGTTGGCCCCAGGCAACACGTTCCTCACTCCAGCACTCTGAGGAGGCCCCGTGTGTGATGACGGAGGAGGTGCTGGGGTTGTGGGCTGACAGAGAAGATATATCATGGCCAAACGGTACCAGGAGGCCCGCAGCACTATCAGCAGGCATGCAGAGTATCACGTGAGTGTCTGCACACGCTAGAAACCCAGTCCCTCAGATGTGTGCTTGGCGCGGCACTTCGTCAGCCTTGAGACCGTGGTTGGTATGCACATGGCAGGTTTCAGTCCCCTTCGGCCAATAACGTGTCCTGGGAGTTCAAGGGCAAGAGAGCCCAGGCAAAATAGGTCTCAGGGATTGTACTTTCCTAAGAGATCCCCAGAAGAGCACAGAGGGGCTGACATTCCCTTCTAGGGCTCCATCCTTTCACTGAGCAGCCACAGTGTGCTCAGCACTGGGGAGAATGAGGAAGACCAAACATGCAGACTGGGCAGGGGCAGAGGGCCAGGGAGGAGATAAAGCAGGGTGGGATGGGACTGTAAGGAGCTTGGCAGAAGACCTCACTGAGAAGGTGGCTTTGAAGCAAAGACTCGAGGAAGGTATAGGAGGAGCTTACCATATTTGCCATGGAAAGAAGATCACAGGCAGGGCCAGCCGGTGCAAAAGTCCTGAGGTCAGAGCCTCCTTGGTCTTTGGGGAATAACAGACCAGAAAGAAAAGAGGTCAGCAGGCTGATGATGGGGGGGGGGGGACAATCACAGAGATCTGTGTAGGCCATACAAGGCTCCGCACTTACTGAGTGGGATAGAAGCCTGCATGGCTCTGGGAAGAGGGGAGCCAAGCCCCACTTAGGCTACTACATGAAGACAGGGGAAGCAGAGACCAGCAGGGGCTGGCAAGTGATGCCGGGGCCTCAGAACAGGAGGTGGCAATGGCCTTGGAGGTTCCGGGTTGTACTGTTATTGTCTTCTGTGGTCCTGGGATTGGACCAGGGCTTGTGCATACTAGGCAAGGGCTCTACTACTGAGCTACCCACCCCCACCTCAGCCCTTGTGGCTTGGTTTGAAAGGCAGACCCAGCAGAATCTACTGAAAGACGGGGCCTGGGATGCAGGCAGCATCTGCAGGAACTCTAGCAGGAGCAGAGGTGCTGACATGGATGCAGGTCTCAGGGTGCAGAAAAAATTCAGATTCTGGTTTTGTTCTGGCTGTATACTCAAGGAAGCTGGGGGTGGGGAGCAGCCATGTCTACACCTCCTGAAGTGAATCCCAGATGGTATGGTTGCAAGGACCCTGGGTGTGGACAGGGGCTGGTGGGCAACAGGACTGATGTAGGAGGCCAGCAGTTTGGGCTGAAGGTCCTGATTCCTCTTTCTAGCTCACTGCCATAGGCTCGGGCCTTTGTACAGTCTCCTGTCACCCTTCTGTTCCCTAATATCCCCACCCAAAAGTCCCTACCTGTGCCTGTTGCCACAGAGGCTCTGCTTAGCCTGCAAGTGACCAATCACTTGGCTTGTAGGACAGTGGCCAAACCCAGGGTCAGTGGCCATCTCCAGCCCCTTTGCCCGCTTCTCTCCTGCTGCCCTCTCCTCCTCTGCCATACGGAGCCACTCGCTGGGACTGGCAGCTGCTCACATGGCCTCAGATTTCCAGTACGAGTGAATCACACTGAACATCACTTTCACGGCTGTGTGCCCTGTAAGCCTGGGGCCCTTCCTTGAGGCCCAGATATATTCCACACACATGTTCCATTTGCCCTGGATGGAGCTAACCTCAACAGTGTGTCAGATTTTCATGAGCAGCCAACATTCAAGAATCATGAAATTTCACCAAAAAATGTAACTTTAGCTTCTCTTGCAATTGAGTTTCCTGCCAGCACTGGACCTGCATTTTCAACTGGCCAAATATTGGCAAATGTCCATGTGCAGGGACACGAGGACCACGGTCCTACTGGGCTCTTCCTGCCTGTCCAGGGAATTCGAACCTGAGTCCTTGGACCCAAAAGGCCCAAAACATTTTTGAAAAGTCAGCATGTTGTTTATTTCTAGAGTAGTGGCTGGGAGGAGCCCCCTGGTGGGCCTTGGGATCCCACAACTGTGCTCAAATCGAGAAAGATCATGGAGACATACAGCTGGGAATCGTAAACGTTCTTACATTCAACAAAATTAACCAGAAAAATTGTTGCTATTAATAATGAAATACATACTTTTCAGGACACGCGAATACGATTTGAAGGGAAAGGTCCCAGATGCATTTCGTATTTCACTTTTGAATTTTCCTGGGAGTCCACTGCTACAGAGACTCACCTCCCTGGGGATTCAGAAGTTACCTCCTGTTTTCTAAAACTTCAAACCCAGCCTGGGAAAGCAGAGCAGCCCAGCCTCCAGCCTCCTCCTGACAGCAGGAGATCAGACAATTTCCAATTATCAGGGAGGCTTTTTAAACACTGACTCCCAAGGTACTTAAGCGGTAGGCCCACTTTATTCCCCTGGTTAAGATGCCAGCCTGCTGGTGCTTTTCCAGGGGGCTGCTTGCCGTTCAGAACCCAGTCCCCTGGGGAAGAAGCGACCTAGCACTCTGTGCAATTGCAGGCATCCCAGGGGAGCTTCTCGGAGGAGCAAGGAAATCAGCTTCATTAGAGAGTGATGGGCTGGAAAGCATCCAGCTGGGCTTCCCCCAACCGGTGCTGAGGGTGGAACCCAGAGCCTCTGCGCCTGCCAGGCAAGTGCACTGCCGCTGACTCTATCCCCAGCCCTCAGCTTGGCCTCTGAAACTCGCTGAGCATTTCAGGCTCTTCAAGTTTTTCTCAGCTCTGCCCTAGACCAGGATTCCCCAGCTCTGCCTTCACCTGTGATCAGAAGGAAAGATAGCAACAGGCAGAGTTCAGCCAAGACGCCCCATAGAGGGAGAAGAGGAAAAAGGACACAAGAGGGCGCAACTGGGAGCCTCGCAGAGGAGGGACAGGATTCCTGGGAGGAGGGAAAAGGTGCCCCAAGTGGGGCACACAAAGGGCTGAGTTTTAATCCTGGTTTCTGTTGCATCTTGGCTGCAAGTCGCAAGTCGTTGGTGGCTCAGTCCTGAACCTGCCTTAGCCTCCCTTAGCTTTCTCACTGTAAGGCAGGGGTGGGGAAGGGAACCCCAGCTGTGCTGAGCTTCTACACTCTCTGGTCACTCCTGACCCTCAAAGGCTCGTTGTGTCCATTTCACGGATAAGGAAACTGAGAGCTGATGGGGCAAGTAGACGGAGGTGCAGCAGCTTGGCATGGCAACAGGAGGCTCTCGCTATGGTCCATGCCAAGCACTGTGGTCTGCTCTGGGTGCTGAGACAGAACCTGTGACTTGGGACCCAGCTGCAGTCGAGAACTGAGCCAAACTCTGCCACGCACGTGCTCTAGACAGCTGCCCCAAAGTGTGCCCAGACAGCCAGCTGGCCTTCACTCCAACGTCAAGGGCAGGGGAGGATGGTCAGGGTCTGCACAGGCTGATTTGGCACTGACCGCATGTCAAGCACACTGGGCAAAGGATATGATTGAATCTTTCTAGAATTCTCCCCAGATCTCAAACCGAGGCTCAAGAAGTAACAGGGGCAGAGCATGATGACACACATCTGTAATTCTAGCACTCTGGGAAGCTGAGGCAGGAAGAT